CCTCCCCATGGACGTCTGAACCCCTCGGCTGCTTTGCTAAGAGGTTGCTAAACAGCAGATAGGAAGATCCTCCTGGATTATCTGTTTGGGCCCAATGTAATCAAGGGATCCTTAAAAGTGGAGGAGGGAGAAAAAAAAAAAAGTGGAGGAGGGAGGCAGAAGTGAGTCAGAGGGACGTGTGGGCAAATGCAAGAAGGTCAGAGGGATGAACGTTGCTGGCCCTGCAGCCGAAGGAGAGGCGACAAGCCCAAGAAAGCAGGTGCCTCCAGAGGGAAACAGCCCCCTCACAGACGGTGTGAGGGCCCCGACTCTGCAGAGTGTGAGACAAGGCAGGCTGGTTAAGAGTGGGAAGGAGTGAACGTGTGAACATCGAATGAGGACGTCCCTTGCTCTCGGACAGGATGACTCAGCATCAGAAAGATGACAGTCTTCCGCAAGTCAGGTTAGGCACAGAGGCATTTACTTCATGCACCGTTAATAAAAAATAGCAACCACGTTTTATCAGGAGCTCGACGTGTGGATAGTAGGGCTTCAGCTGGAAAATAGTATTTAACAAAATTGGGAAAAGCCTGACCGTGTAGGTCAGCAAGAACAAGATGGGGACCCTACCTACCTGCCAGCTAGCTCCACGAACTCTAGGTCTCGGGTGGGTAGACTGTGGTGCTGGTGCCACGTGGGAGAATCCAAACCACCAGAGAGAGAGTGCTGCGTATTAGTGGCCAGAGTCAGCGCCCCGGGCTGCTTGGCCGAGGCTCCTCTGCTGGACGTCGGGCTACCAGGTGAGCCGCTGCGGGCTGGTTGAAGCTCCCGGAGCCTACGCTCCCATAGCTGGCTGTTAATTTTGTAGCCTTGTACGTTCCCTGTAAATCACATGTGCGTGCGAGCATGCACACACATGCGCACATGCGCACAGAGGCATCCCCAAACTCTTGTTTTCTACCGTGTTTTTGGTGACGCTAAGAACCATTGTCCCACTTGTCTCTCATATTCAGCCGTTGGCCTCACTTAAAACCCCAACTGAATGGACAGAAGAGCCGGGCAGTCGGTTCTGTTCTCGAGGTGGCTCTGAGCTCCCGTCAGCCCCTTCTCCGCAGCTGCACATGTGAAACAGCACACGGCACAGCGAGAGTTAGGACCCTAGATCCTTCCCCTCTTCAACCTCATTTGAACATTAGTTGGGTTCTAAAATGCAGAAAAAAAATTAAGCTCATCAGACAAACTGTACATGGTCAGAAAGATTCTAAAACACTGTCGGGTGACCTGGAAAGGCAGCCCCTCTGTGGTGAAATAATGAAGAACGTACTGACTAGTGGTGTGGGTTCCTGCTGATGCTAGAGCAGCTGGGGTCAGCGGTCTGGCTGTCGGGCATCCTGCCTTCCCCGGAACCCCGCTGCAGGTGCAGCTCGGTGCCCGCGGGGACACCAAGCACCTCAAGGGGCAGGAAGATGTGGAAGAGGCCAATGAGAGGCGGCCCCTCCTGCCCCGTCCGGACCCACGCTCTCCAGCCCACCTTCTCCAATACAGGCCGGGGCTCTGTCCCCCTTAGGGTGCCTGGTCAGGGTGGCAGGGACAGGTAGCCTGTCTGATGCCAAACAGGAGGCTCTGGGTCATCTGCCTTTGTGAACCTTCTCCTTCAGCTGAGGTGGAAACCCTGACCTGTTGCAGGCTGGGAAGGTCACTTGTAAGGCTCTGCCTGAAATCCCGGCCCATCAGGATAACCCTGACCCTGACCCTGACCCTATCCCTAACCCTATCCTGTGTTAGTGTGTCTGGGCTGCCTTAGCAAAGTACCACAGACCGGGCAGTTTAAACAAACGAAATTCATTTCCTCCGTTTTAGAGGCTGGGCGTCCGAGATCATGGTGCCGGCAGGTTGGTCCCTCCTGAGGCCGCTCCCCGGCGTGTGGAAGGCCATCCTCCCCCCATGTCCTCACGTGGCTGTCCCTCCGTGTGCCTGTGTCCCCTCATCTCTTCTTATAGGGACACCAGTCACACTGGATCGGGCCCCACCCTCCCGACCTCGCTTTACCTTAATCGCCTCCACATCCAGTCACACCCTGTGGGCGAGGGGTTAGGACTTCACATACGAATCCTGGGGGGACACAACTCAGCCCGTGACATCCTCTGAGAGTTGGACAGTGGAGTCTGGAGAGACTGTTGTGTGGAATGCCACCACCCGCAGAGTGTGCCTGTCTGGATGGGGGGACTGGACCCTCTTCATTCCTGTTAACAGACACTGGTGTGGCCAGAGATCGTATGAGTCAGGAATGGTGTGCAGCTGTGCGTGCAAAGGCCGGGGCAGAACAGAGCGCTGGTGTGTGGCTGGGCGACAACGTGGCGCCCAGGCACAGGCCACCCATGAAGGACGTGGTCCTCTGGGGCTGTGGCATCCTTGGTGGAGAGCTGACCTGGCCCCCATCACTCAGGGGCTGCTCAGGAAGGCGAGCACCCCAGCCCAGCGAACAGACAGAACTGAGCCTGAGGACTGCTGGTCAGCACTGGACGGCTGACTAGGGGCCGGGGCAGAGTCGCAGGTGACGAAATGCACCCTAGACACCCTAGCTTGACCACCATTTGCATTTTGTAATATTTCCTACCTAGTCATAGACAACTTTTAGTATTGAAATGGAAGCAAAATAAGTCATTTGTTGCCACTTCTCCTCCTTGTAGACAGTGTTTCTTGCTCTGGGTAGTATATGTAGAGTGTTTCTTTCTTTTTTTTTTTTTTTAAAGATTTTATTTATTTATTTGACAGAGAGAGACAGAGAGGAAACACGAGCAGGGGGAGTGGGAGAGGGAGAAGCAGGCCTCCAGCAGAGCAGGGAGCCCGATGCGGGGCTCGATCCCAGGACCCTGGGATCATGACCTGAGCCGAAGGCAGATGCTTAACGACTGAGCCACCCAGGCGCCCCTATGTAGAGTGTTTCATACCATGAATATTTTAAGTGACGTCTGGAAGGTGTTAAATACATATTGAATACTAATAGTAACGAGACTTGTGCATCTCACAAAAATATTAATAACCTCAGTAGGAGATTGAAATGAATATAACAACATATTTCTCCAACAAGGCGTATAGAATCCTGGGGGAGTCCAGGATTTATTGAAGCCAACAGACAAACGTGGCACGTCTTCCTAAACCCTCACTTTACTGAAAAGTTTGAAGGAAAAAAAACTTTTTTTAAAAAACAGGAAGACAAACATTGAAATTATGGAGTATAATAAAGAATTTCACGTGGACTTTCAGAGAGAATAGACTTGAACAATTTTACCCTTGGTTCGATGGCCCATATCCAGGTTCTCCATGTCTGAGCGTAGCTTCCTCCGCTATGGGGTACTAATGAAATTTTGGAAACACTTCCTTTATTATAACACTAGAATCTAATAAGATTTGGTGGCCTCTCTCGTTCCAAGTAATCGTGGGAAAGGTAACTCAAGCAAGTGAACAATCTGTATTTTAAAATATTTGTGGGTTTGGCACCTCAAGTGATATACGCAGAAGGAAGAAAAAATCTAAGAATGTTTCCGAGTAAATTCTTCCATGAATTTCTTCAATGCATAGACATGAGGTCTGCACTTAGCATTGTCAGTCATGACCTCACAAAAGTTGTGCAACATTTTCTCATTCACTCACATTCTTGGAGTAAAGACTCTTCGCAGTAAATGCAAGACTAAGCTTCCAACCAAGACTACAAATTAACATAAATTTCCTATTTTTTAAATCTTAATTGATATAATTTATTATAAACAAAGGAATACATATATTTATTATAATAATTCAAAGACTGTTACAATACATAATTTTAAACTTCATGCATTCAAAGAATCAGGGACGTAGTGGACCACAGCCAGTTTTATTGTCTGAGACCTTTTTAAAGTTTTGTCTAATGGCCTGGGTTTTCTATGACCATATAAGTGCTGTACCACCACTTAATTGCCTTGACTTATTTATATAAAGATGTCACTTTGTGAGGGACTGAGGCCACATTTTACCGCATTTCTGCCTTTCTCACTAGTTGCTAGTGTTGGCCTCCTAGCAGGGATTCACACACCAATCAAAAGACAGCAAATTAACCAATGGTCCCTTTAAAGTGTGCGTGTTTGGTGAGTGTGCCTTCACAGTCCTTGGTTGTGAAACTATACTGAGGTAAGCCACCCATCATGACAACTGTTTTCCTCGAGTCCTGTGATCCAAGGTTAGAGGTCTTAGTCCTGCAACACCTGAATAAATTCCGTACAAATAAAACCCATAGAAAATAAGCAAGTTTGAGAGATTCTACAAACCCAGTGGATTGTAACATTTTTTTGTACACAGTTGCTTCAGAATGGAAGGAGATATTTGATTTTTAGTTCTTTTCCAAGTTGATGGGTTAAATTTTAGAATAAACTAGCCAAGTGGAACCTTCACCTCCTCCATAGTTGTGTGTGTGTGTGTGTGTGTGTGTGCGTGCACAGAGCACACGTGCATGGTTGCCACAAACAAAGCCTTAAAGCCAATATTCACTGGACTTGCAGCTGTGGCTATGTACTTTAATAGGTTTAGAGACAATATTTTGTAGCCAAACACTGGGACATACACAATAAGTACTAGGGTATACTTACCAGGACTATAGAATGGAATTTCAGACTAGGGACTATTCCAGAAAACTGGGAATTATGATTTCCTACCCCTCGGATGTCCCCATTCCGACTTCTTCATCATTTTCTATCCATTCCCAACCTGTCCATGTTGCTTGATTTCCTCCCTCTCATCTGCCTTGTTTGACTTCTCTGGGGCAAGGATGATGGAGAGGATTTAGGGGGTGGGGAAGGGCACTTTGTGGGCAAACTCTGTGGCTGTTAGGTGCAGAGTGAGCAATAACAGGTAAGTTAGATCAAGAAGGTCACCCAAACTGCCTGTGAAGACCCACATTCCTACCTAGGAGTTTGGAAGTGAGGGCTAGTTCTGAAGAAGACCCTGGAGAGCCTCGAGGGCTTGTGTCTTCAATGTGGTGCTGGGTAGGGATGGGGAAGTAGATGGTGTTGGAAATTTCACTGAGTTAGGGGATAGCTCCTTCTTATCCCCAGGCCTCATGCTCAGTGTTGCCTAGAAAAGAAATTCTTGAAGGCGCTATTGTAGTTCTTGTTGAAAGCTGTATAGATGAGGGGGTTAAAGAAGGAGTTGGAGTAGCCCAGCCAAAGGAAGATGCTCTTCCAGATGGCGGGGATGTCGCAGGAGCAGAGGGGGCTGATGAGCTCTGTGGTGAAGAAGGGGATCCAGCAGAGTGCAAACACCCCAATGAGGATGCCCACCATCAGGGCAGCTTTCTGCTCTTTCTGTTCCCTCCACGTGTCCCCTTCTGTCTGGAAGGTGACGGTGGTGTGGCGGACAGTGAACACCATCTGGGGCTGCTGAGCAGAGGTCTTCGCCTGGAAAAGATCAGCAGAAGCTTCATGAAGAGCCAGCTTCTCATGCCTGTCAGGTAAGGGTAAGGTGAACCCAGACACGGATGCCTGCCTCCTGCACACCACTTGAAGAGAAAGTCCTCGATTGTCGGGTGTGGGAAGCTGGCAGCCTGTGGAGCCCACCCGCAGCTGTGAAAACATGGCGACAGAGCAGGGGGGCTTGCTTACATCTTAGAAATGGAAGGAAGGGAGCATCCATAATAAATGTGATGAAGATGAATTCCCTGTTGCTGCCTATTCAACAAGGAAAACAGAAATAACCCAGTCATGCAGTACATATCATTTACTGACAAAGGTACATGAGTAATCGAAAGGGTGCTAAATCCTTACCAAACCCTTGGACAACTAAAGCCTGATTTTCCGAAATTTTAATAACTTTCTGTGTTCATGTGAATCCTCCCCAAAGGAATTTTCTAGAATTCCTTCTGGTGTCAGTTTCCTATGACTGTTTGCGACAGTTCACTCACCAGGACACTTATCTCCTCCAGGGCTTATTCTGTGTCCTTCCCCTCCCCCAACTTTCATGGAAAACAGACTCCAAACTCTTAGATTCTCCCCAGTTGGGTGCTCCCAGGTCTCCTTTGGGCAGATTTCCACAGAATCAGGCTCTCGACATTATAGTCCCTTCTCCAGAGAAGTGGGATTTCTGGGAAAGGGGTTCTTCCTTCCATTCCAGTCCTTTTACTTCCATCTTTGGGGAATTGAAATAAGGACTATCTGACGAAAAGACAGCCTAAATATGGAGAAATTATAATGGGTTAGATTTACTAAACTAGCAAGTTAACTGGTCCAGTTAGAATTTGGGACAATTTCTGGGCCGATCAATCATTCACTGATAGGTGAGACTACATGGACATTAGATATCATTCTTCCAAACCCCAGCGTTCTGTAACCCCAGTACATTTGAAAAGGAGAATTACACAGCTCTCTCTCAGGCAGCAAACAACCTTTCAGACAAAGGACCAAATCAGAAGGTCATTCTCGTTAACCTAAACCACTTAACCGGTTCATGGCTACATCTATAAATTGGAGTCAAAAGACATCGACTTATCTGTCATATAGAATAATGAGGTATAAATAGGAACACTATGGTTAAAGTCATATTAGTTGATATATGAATTATTAAATTTGTATGATAGCTTTCCTGTCATTTACGTGAAGAACAATGAAACAAGTATTGTACAACCAAAAAGAAGATCATCAATATTGGGACAAATAGTCCACAATACTGCAACCCTTAAAAACATACATAAAATGAGAAGTGAAAATCTCTCTTTCTATACCCCAATCTCACCCCGAGATGGAACGATAGTAAGCTTTCTTATATTATTAGTGCATATCTGGTAGTACTTTGCAGGGAATTCATTTACAGAAATACAAACACAATAGTTTCATTTTTCAGCATAAAACAGGGAAACCCACCAATTTCTCAATAAAACTCAATCCTAAAATGGCATCCGAGAAGCCATTTCCCCCCATTTTCCAAAGATGGCAATTGAAGGAGAATTCTGGTCCTGACCGTTAAACCATCCCCCACCCTCCTGAAATTCTCCTCCCTCTCAGCAGTTTTTTGGTGGTAACACTGGCCACTCAGGGTTGTGACTCCCTTGCGCCTACCCCTTAATTCTCTATAGCACAGCTGATATAAAGGTGGAACACTTAAACTAGACTTTTGTCAAAGTAGAAATAAATACAGCAACACACAATCAGATATTCTGGCTTTTGAGATATGGCACACTCTTGGGAACCAGCCAGCCCCTCCCATCCTGACCCCATGTCTGCCTTCCCTGTGGTCATTAGCCTTTGCAGACTGACTCCAGAAGCCCACGTTTAGTCCTTTATATATTCAACTTTCAGTTGCAAGACACAATGAGCCTCACAATGAAACTATCAATGTAAAGCCAACCTTCTGTAAGGCTGAGATATAACCCCCAAAGTTGCACATTCTATTTGTAGGAGTTTTCTGTTGCATAATGGAAAAAGTTGCAAGGTTTCCATTCTGAGAAGCCATCTTCTTTCCTAATGATTGGCATTCAGGATATCTCCCTCTCTTGAGATTTTGCCCTTCTGTACACTCAGATCCAGTCCTATATCCAAAGGGGCTGCCATATCAGGATGTAGCTCATCACCCATCTGAGAGATGGGACCACAGTGGTTGTTTATCCAGGTGTATGACCTACATGCAAGTGTAGGATTTGAATATTTCTATAAAAATTAGTCTTAGGAAAGGGGGGGTCTAAGTATTATAAGACAGTTTCATGGAAGCCCATCACTTCAGTCATGGTCCCTGTAAATGAATGTAAAGTGCCCTACATGCAGGCCTGCTTGTATGGGTATTTGGCAGTGTACTCTAAAGCCTTGTGTTCTTCCAGTACAGTTTACCTAGGTTCTTACAGAGGATGAGCTATTCCCAAATAAAACATACACTCATTGGATCTGCAAGGATTTTCCACTGCGTCATGGTTCTAATGTTGAGTGAAGTGTGTTCTTAAAGATGTTCCAAGTATTTCATTTCTAAGTTTGTATTCAGGATGATTTCTCCCATGTCAGAAGGGTGTTTCAGCTAAATGTTCCCTCACAGGTGTTAGATTCATGCTCCTTTCTCACTGAGTTGTTAGTACAGCAGGGTGGGAGCCCACATCCACAGGCCCTTCCAACAAAGATTCAAGTGTCATGTTTTAACAATTCTTGTCATGTTCCATGAGAACCCCTTAGGGTTCTACTTTAAATTCAAGTTAAATATTTTTTCTAAATACTTTATTTTTATGGTTGGCTTAGAGTCAGGAATTGTTTATAGGTGAGTCCTAGAACTCCATATGTCTCAGAAAAGCACATTTTCTACAACCTCAATGCGAAATGTTGATCAGCATTGACATTTCTCTTGGTGCAGCATTCAACACCAACTCACTTGACAGAAGAAAGAGGGTCACTGATTTAAAATGGTTCTTTTGGGACAGCAGAGGCTCCTATGGGAGGAGGATCTTTGTTTTTTGGGAGGTTTTAGGTTTCTGGATGTCTAATGTCTTTTGGTTGCTCACCCTGTGACTTTCTGACTCAGGGACTCCTTAGATCTTTGCTCTCTGCTAATCAATGATTGCAATAAAGCACCTGAGTCTGGAGAATTGAATTCTATTAATTACTCTATCAATTACTCAACAGACTCATTAGTAGATTTATAGAAAAAGAAGTAATAGGGTAAAAGGAAGTGAGCATTCAAGCCAAGTTAGACTTTTTGTAATTATCTTCATAATACTGTATCATTTATTTTTTATTTTTTTTAGTGTTCAACAATTCATCAGTAGCGTATAGCACTCAGTGCTCATCACAGCACATGTCCCCCCTCAATGCTCATCACTTCACATATAAAATTTTTCTAAGTGAACAATTAGCCTCATCTCTCCAAATAAATGCATTCTTTGGGGGGACATGTACTTATGTGTTAGACTTCTCATTTTTCCAAAATGGTTATGTGATAAATAACAATTCACTGGTTAATCATAAATCTAATATATTGCTTTAATTTCCTTTAATTTGGCTTCACTTTCCTATTAATATCACAGATAATCAATAGATTACCATCAATAGTGGGTACTGAAGCTTAGGGATGAAGACTCTTATCTTAGAAGTATGATTTTGGGTGATTTGCAGGTTAGACCACACCACTGTCAGAATAGAAGATGGACAGATGAACCAGGATGCTCAAGCTAGAAATGGTCTTACATGTTAAGGAACGGTTCCACAAGGGGGAAGAGTGAAAACATTCCTCAAACTTCCCAACTAACTTAGGAAAAGCCTGATTGTTCCATAGCTATGGTAAGAAGGAACCTTGCTACTTGTCTAAATATCTTCAGTTGATCAGCGACAATACAGTTTTGTAAATACACATTTGCAAACCAACCAATCCTTGGCTGCCCTCGCTTCTGAAAGTCAGCCAATTAGGGTAGGACTCACCCCAATAAACGCTCCTCCGAGTGCCAATCAATCGACAGCAGTCTCACTGAGTAACTCCACTTTAAGGTGATATCCATTCACTGCCTTCCAGTTCCTGAACTCCATGCTGTCCCTGTCCCCAGAGATTGTTGGCATTCTGCTCTGCTCTAGAGACAGTACCTGACAAACATAACTTTTTCTTACTGTAGTAAGCAGTAGGTTTGGCTTGTACTTCTATTTCAGATACTATGTGGTGCTTGGATCATCTTTAGACAGTTCTAGAGCGTCCACTGAGATCATTTTGAAGACCCTCTACAGGATGCTTGGACCACAGTATATTCACTGGGCCCCAAAGTCCAGCTGCACTCAGGATCTGCCCCCAGGGGTGCCAGTCTCAGCAGCTCCAACCAGCCCCACTGGGCTCTTCTTGCTCTCTGCATTTTGTTATCCTAGGACTTGGAACCAAAGTGTCTTCATTTAAGGTCTTTAGGCTTACTTTGTATCAAGTACCTAGATCTTTGAATGAGATATATACCATTTGGTAATTGACTTAGATCTTTGGGTAAGCCCATTAGATCTCTTGTCCTGGAGGTGTACCATTTAGCAAATATTTTTTATGCCCTTAATGTACTTAATTTACTGCTACTTGCTTTGCTTTTGCTGTTATTTGTCTATATGTGCAAAGTCTTGGTTTCACTGGGTAATTTAAAAAATTTTTTTTTCCTGGAGAGCCTTTCTTTCAGTTGAAGTAAAAAGGATTGTTCTCTAAGACATTGGCTTGATAAGCTACTAATCCATTCCAAGCCAGACCCAAGGACTAATGTTTTGAGGACTGTTAGACCGAAGACCAATTTGTGGAAAAGCAATTAAAAGAAACACAACATTGCTGTGTATTTATTTAATAAAAGGGCATATTTATGTTTACAAACAAGTTTGAAAAACAAAAGGAAAACATGTATACTTCTACCTGTTAACCTTTTTCAAAATACCAACAGCCCTCATGCTGTATGAAGGTTTCTAAGGATTTATTAGAA